CCCCAGAGACAGTCGTTGGGGTCATTGAAGCCACCAGCTCTGGGATGTGGCCCACTGTTGAAATGCCCGCTGCCATCTTCCCGGTCTCCTGTTCCCTGTCTGTCGCACCCCATGGACTGCCCTGACTGGGGCAGATGAGAGAGAAGAACCCGCAGGCACCATCAGGCCTCAAACCCTGTGTTCTGCTCAGAATCCTAGATATCAGTGACAACCGAAAGAAGCAGAAAAGCACCAAGGATGATGCCATGTCCTGTGAGCAGGGTATGGCTGGGACCCTAAACACTATTAGCAAAGCTAAACTTGCTACAGAGGCAGCACAGCCTGAAGGGTGGGTGACAACCTAGGAGAGACCTAGGCTTGCGACTCTCGGAGGGACACTCCTCAGAGACCACGGAGGGGAAGGGGAGCAGGCCAACTGGAGCCTCTTACGCTCTTGTGAAAAAGCCACTGAGCTTGGATAATTGGATTCAAACTTCAGGAGGTCAGCGGGGTCAGGGAGAGACACCCTCTCCTTTCTCACTGTGAGAGGAACTAACTCCACCCAGCTCCTGGCACTCACTCCCCAGGGGACCTCGGGGAACTGTCAGGGCTCCTAACCTCTGTTGCTTCAACTCTGAAATGAAGGAGTCAGGAGAAATCACAGCTGCCTGGACATTTAGCCTTCATTCCTAAAGTGACAGAGGACAGGGCAGCTAAGGGACGCACGGGCCAGTGATTGCAGGCGGGGGGAGGGAAGGGGAGATGTCCCGGGCCAGTCCAGGCAGAGCTTTGCTTCTTTGCTTCGTTAGAATCCAGGTGGGGGTGGAGACAAGTCCTTAGAAAGTGCACTCGCCTTCGTAAGCGCTGGGAAATGCCAGAGTGGCTGCTGCAGGGAGCGCGTGCTGCAGGTTTTCATATCCAAGTGAGTGAGCCGAAGGCCGCTCGTGTGACTTTGGGACCCAAGCCACTCTCGTCACAGTCTTGAAGGGGACGCTGTGAGCCAGAGGTGGGTGTGAGTAGTAGATCCGGTTGGATCTCCTCCACCAGCCCCAAGACGTGCAGTTAAAGGCCTCCCGAACAATAGCTGCATCTTCACAAAAACCACGGAGCAGAGCATGCAACCCCCTTCCCCAGGTGCTAAAGAAGGGGGAACGGAGGACCCTGTGTGTCTCTGCCATCTTTAAATTAGTCATCACGTGGTGTAGGGAGGGCCGAGTTGAGTCCCTCTGTCCTGTCGTTTCTTCTTAAAGGAGGAGGAAGCTCCTTAAAGAAGCAGGGAGGGCGCGGACCTAACAGGAGAAGGTGTCTGCATCTCAGCCTCCAGCTTCTCTTCCCCATTTCTGGCTCCAGAGCACCCCCAAGCCCATCCCGCAAATGGAGTCTGTTTGAGGTCGCATGTGCTTGAGAGGAGGTGGGATCATATCCAGGAACAGGTTAAAGCTCCAGTCTGAACGCTCCAGAAAATCCCCCCACCCCATGGCAGGTCCTGTTTCTTTCGAGGCCCTTGAGACCCCAAAGCTTCCGGAGGCTGCTGCTGTTGAGCGCCCACCCGGGTGCGCAAACCTGGGGTCACCTTCCAGTGACGATGGCCTCTTGTGTCTAGAACCAGAGACACTGGTGGGCCAGGCACTCATAGCTCACCAGCTGCAGAACTGTGCAGAACCCCTGTCAACACCCCACTTCGGACCCTCGTTAGAAGGAGCAGCATCAGGAAAGATCCCAGAGCCACTGGTCCCCTCTGAGGGAGCTGGGGGGAGCAGAGGGATTTGTGACAACCGGAGTCTGAGTAACTGCCCCCCGCCCAACCATACACACCAAGACTTTCAGGGTTGGGGCGGGAGGTCGAGGAGCGATGTCCTTGGCTGGTTGCGGGCCACAGCCTCCCGTGGACGGCCGGACAGCTTTGGCCTCGGTGGGGACCGGGCAGCGACCGCAACTCGCTCCTAACAACTCCAGGCGGCTAGGTCCTTGCGGGCTCTCGGCTGAGGCGGGACACCCGGAGAACGCGGCGCCAGCTCCAGGGGTTCGGTGGGCGAAGCCTGGCGAAGGGAACTACAGAGACGAGCGCCCCACCCACGCACCCCCGCAGAGCGAGGCGGTGGGAGACTCCTCACTCGGCTCTGCCAAGTGGAGAACGGGGAGCTTTACTTGCGTGGTGTCCACGAGAAGCTGCAGTCTCCAGCAGACGGTCCCTCGTGTGTCTGAGTCTGCGTTCCGTGTGTTCGATGTGTAAATGTGAGTGTGTGCGTGTGTGCGCGCGTGTGTGTGCGTGTGTGTGTGCGCGCGCGCCTGTGCACCCGATGGGGCCGGGGTGTTAGACTCGCCACTCCCTCCCTTCCCGGCGCGACGCGCGCGGGTGGCCGTCCCTCCGATTGCGGCCGGGTAACCTCGCTCGCAGGGCCCGGCCCGGCGCCGGGAGGGCTGGGGCTGCTGCAGCTGGCGAGGCCGAGCCCCGCTCGGAACCGAAACGCTGTCACTGCTTTCAGAAAAGGGAGAGGCCCGCGGGGCGCGGGGCAGGGGCTCGCGTCGCGCCTTCGCCGGGCTCCGAGGCCCCCGCGCACCCGGCCCCTCCAAGCCCCGGCCCCGCGGCCCCTCTCCGCGCCCGAGACCTCCCGCTCCTGCTTCAGGAATGTCCAGCGGCCCCCGCCGCTCCTGCTAGTACCGAACGCCACCGGGAAGGTTCGAGGCGGCCTGGCCCGAAACG